TATGTTAATGAAGCAGGATAAGGTTATTGTGATATAGTAAATTAATTGGTCTTTCTTGACATAGTCTTGTAACCCCCACTGAAAGATTGGGTGAGACTATGCAAATAAGGTGCTTGTGACCCACCAAGGGGATTGGATAGCTTGCTAATAACACAAATAAGGCAAATGGCATCCTAGTGTGAATGGGACCATGGAAATAAGGTATATGGAACTCTAACAATGAAATTGGTCAATTCTGCAGCCTGCTAGGCTAAGAAGAGAGCCAATTTTTAAGCAAAAGTTGGACCTCAATACCACCAAGAAAGAAGAGAAAGGAGCAGAGCACATCCTTTGGGCCCAGAGTGCCTGTGCTGGGACCCTCCTAGACCCAAGGGACAGAGACAAAAAAAAAAAAAAAAATTCATTGGGTTTGAACCACCAGCCTTCTGGTTAGGAGTCCAATGTCTTAGCCACTATGCTACCAGAGCTCCCAAGAGACAGAAAGCTATGATAAGAGGCAGTAAGAGACAGCAAGAAGTAACAGCACAGAAATGGGAGCAGAAGCACCAGAACCAGAGTCTGGCAGTAGACAGCATGGTGAGTTTTCTGGACCATGGAGTGAGAGAGCTGAGCACCTTCAGACAGGAAGCTTACTGGTGGAGTGAGGTACCACCAAGTACTTATAGGTGGAACTACACTCACTGACCGACCTATGGAGCTAGAGAGCTGAGTGTCTTTGGGTTGAGGCTTACTAGCAGAGTGGTGTTCATTTGGGTACTTATTTGCAGAGCTAAAGAGCTTTGTAATACTTGCCCAAGCAGGGCAGAGGCTTCACTGGCCCAAGGGGCCTGAGAGGCTGAAAGCTGAGATGCAAAGTTCTAGGGAGAGGCCTGCCTGCAGGCACAGCCAAGAACCTGTCCTGAACAAAGATCTATATCCTGAGTGCTACCTGATCCCAAATTGTAACCTGGTACTTCCATAATAAACCCTATAAATCTGAGTATGGTCTGTGAGTTTTGTGTGGCCTTTACAATGAGTTATTGAACTCAGCAGAGAAGTAGAGAGTGCTGTGAGAAGGACAGCTAGTGTCAGAATTGGTGAAAAGTTTGGAGAGAGGAGACATGTCTGAGCTCCGCCTCATTGAAATCAGTCTTGGGCTGTTGATCTTGATTCTCTTTCTCCCTTTTTAAAGGTGATCAGCTTTTATAGTTATGGTAATTAGTATTAGATCATGTTCGTTATGTTAATAAGGAAGGATTAGGGTGGAATGCACTCAAGTCACTACCCTTACTCAAGTTGTCACCCTTGCTTGAGTCATACTTTTTATCTTCTTCTTGTTGTTATATGCCCTCCAGTCATACCCAACTCATAGCGACCCCTCCTTGGGTTTCCGAGGCAGAATCACTATGGAAGTAGATTGCCCCATCTTCCTTCTGAGAAATGGCTGGTGGGTTTGAACTGCCAGCCTTCTGGCACAGTATTATCATTTAAATTAACTTAAAGGAAAAAGTGATTCAACAAAGGTATGTATATATATTGGAACTTTACTTGTTCATTAATGCCATGAGCAACACTTTTGCAGAACTGGATATGGTTTTTGAATACTGGATTTGTGTGTGTGTGTGTGTGTGCTATTCAAAATGTAATGACTACAAACATGAGCTACTTTAAGTTTAACCTACATTAATAACTTTTCTTAAGTTTAAATTTACAGTCAGTTAAACACTCCAGATGTTTTATTGGAAATCAGGCCCTAGTTTGTAGCATTTGCCAATTTTTGTGGCTACTTTCAAGTTATTTTTCTCTTCTTGTTCTGGAATTCCAGTGACACGCAAGTTATTCCTTTTGATGGTATCCCACATGAACCTTAGGCTTTCTTCATTTTGTTTCCATTTTTTTTCCTGATTGATCCCTTTCCAAAGAAGTGTTCAGGTATTTGTCTTCAATCTGATCAATTCTGTCTTCCATTGCATCAATTCCACTCCTTTGCCCTTCCAATGTGTTATTTATTTCTGCCAATTTAGTATTAATCTTCTGGATCTGTCTGTAGATTTAGAATCATTTCTAATTTTTCATTTATTTTGTCATTTTGTTCTTGTATTTTCTTCCAAAATTCTTCTAGGGTTTTTTCTGTGTTTTCTTTGGTCTGTCTCTCAGTCCTTTGAAGATACCTAAAGATAATTCTTTTGAATTCCTTATCAGAGAGTTCCAATGCTGCTTCTTCCTCAGGGATGTGTTCTGGGTCTGTATCCTGCTCCCTTGTTTCTATCACTTTATCCTCCTTCTTTGTGTGGACTGTGATGGTCTGTTGTCTCCGAGGCATCATCTTGGTGTTGTTATATTTAGATCTCTGTTAACTGTTTGTGAAGAGCAGCCAAGGGTGATTCAGGCTCTTCTTGGTGGTTTTTTATTGTTGGCCCATTTGTGGAGAAGGAGGTAGTGGCTCTCGCTCAGTAAGTGAAATTGCAGGAGGTGTGGGTGTAGTTGTGTCTTATGGGGACTGTTGTTGTCTCCCACTCAGTTAGACACAAATTACAATTGAATAACCATCAAAAAACTAGAAGCACATGGACAAAAACACACCATGTAATCATACAAGAACAGCAACCAAAAAAAAAAAGAAAAAAGGGAAAAAGAAGAAGAAAAAACAAGAAAACCTGTACTATCTGGGGATAGAGCACTAAGAGAAAAAAAAAAAGCAGAGAAGGCAAATAATGAAGGGAAAAATGCAAAAAGAAAAGCAAGGAATGGGGTTAACCATGAGATAAAAGGGAAAAAAAAAAAAAAAAAACCTTAAATTAAAAAAAAAAAAATTCAACCAGGAACAGGGAAAAGAAAAAATACTGAAAACTAGGACCTGGGAGGGTAAGATTAAGAATAACAGTAAAAAGGACAAAAGTATTAATAATAATAGTTGTTCTAAAACAGACAAATACAAGCAAAAGAAAGCGAAAAATTAAAAAAGAGGAAAAAAAAATCGGTGGAGGACAGGGCAGGGCACCCAGGCTCCATCTGAGCACACAGACTGTGGAGTCCCTGTGGGCCCAGAAGGTAGGTGGGAGTGGTGGGTGGCTGCACCTCCATTCACCAAGTGGGTGTGGGATATAAGAGTAACAAGAGGAATGTCGTACCTTTTCAGTCTTTCAGGTCAGGCGTGTTGTTGGGTTTCTGGAAAGCAGAACGTATTCTTAAGCCCCAGGAATCTGCAAGAGCACTGTCTCTTTAAATATCCAAAATAGTCAAGTCACTTTTAAACCTTCAAAATGGTGGCACCCTGTGGACCTGCAAAAGTCCACAGCTCAGCCAACCTTTCTCTTTACCTTCTCCATTTATTCCCCAGCCACCAGAGCAGTCCTCTGTGCAGTCCCTGGTTAGCAGGGCTGATTTTTAGGTTAATTCTTAGGTCCTACCAGCACTCAGATATCTCCAAGCTGTCTGTGCCATCAGGATCGCTCAGGATCACTGCCAGACCGCAGCTCCGTATGTCTCCTTTTTTGCTATTTTCACGCAAATTCTTCTGCTAATTGGGGTTTATTTAGTCCACTTCTATATCCTTCCCTTCAGGGCTCAGGGGTCCAAGATTATCTTCCGTGTCTGTGTCAATTGGTTTCCCTTTTCTTTGTTGAAGAGGGTCTGTGCAGTCTTTCTGCCTAGTCCGCCATCTTGCCAGAACCCCTACTTTCAAGTTATGCAGCGTTGGGAAGACATGCCCAGAAGTACATCATTACTAAGGACAAGATACAATAGATGTAAATAACCTCAAGATCATAGACAATAGTAAAATGTTGAAAAATAATTAGAAAATTACGTGTTTGGAGCTCTGGTGGTGCAGTGCCTAAGGCATTTGACTGCTAACCAGAAGGCTGGTGGTTCAAACCCACCAGCCACTCCTCAGAAGGAAGATTGGGCAATGTGTTTCCATAGACATACCACCTCAAAAACCCAAGGAGGGGTCGCTATAAGTCAGAACCAACTTGATGGCAGTGAGTTTGGTTTTTTTGTTGTTAAATAAAATGTAAGTTTTTATATTTTAATTTTAAATGATGTTTGTGTTTAACAACTGTCTTGCAAAAGTCCTGAAAATTTAACAATTGGCTCTTGCAAGCTGATACAAAATAGCTCCAGCTCACCACTTTGTCTTAGTTATCTAGTGCTGCTATAACACAAATACCACAAATGGATGGCTTTAACATACATTTATTCTCTCACAATTTAGGAGGCTAGAAGTCCAAAATCAGAGTGTCCATTCTAAGGAAAAGCTTTCTTTCTCTGTCAACTCTGGGGAAATGTTCTTGTCTCCTTTCAGTATCTGTGGACCCAGTATTCCTTGGAGATCTCCATATGTCTTGGTATCAGTCTTCCCCTGGGTCTAGGAGTTCTCAGCACAGGGACCTTGGGTCCAAAGGACATGCTCTGCTCCTGGCTCCTCTTTCTTTGTGGTAGTAGGTCCCTCTCTCTCTGCTTGCTTTGTTCTTCTTTTATCTCTTGAAGGACAAAAGGTGTTGCAGGCAACACCTCAGGGAAACTCCCCTTACGTTGCATCAGGGCTGTGAGCTAAGTAAACTATTGCATCTCATCCCAATCCTGCTTTGTTAACATAACAAATACAACTTAATCTCATTAACATAACCTAATCAGGATCTCAGTAGCATAGTGCTAAGGCACTTGATTGCTAACCAGGAGGCTGGCAGTTCAAACGCACCAGCCACTCCTGGGAAGGAAGACTGGGCAATCTACTTCTGTAGTGATATGGCCTCAGAAACCTAAGGAGAGATTGCTGAGTCGGATCCGACTTGACGGCAGTGTGTTTGGTTTTTTTGTTTGTTTGTTTTCACCCTGCCTTACTTCACATAGAGGTCAAGGTTTACAACACATCACAAAATGGAGGATAATTACATCGGATCACAAAATAGAGGAAAACCACACAATACTAGGAATAGTGACTTAGCCAAGTTGACACATATTTCAGAGGATACAATTCAATCTATGACACCATTTGCTTATGCATTTTTCCTTCATAGGTAGGCTTGGAAAGCCAAAAATTACACAGAGTTTAATGACATCTATGAATAGCTCCTGTAATGTCACACTGATCTGCTCTGTGGAGAAGGAAGAAAAAGATGTGTCATATAGATGGAGTCCCCTGGGAAAAGAGGGTAATGTCCTTGGAATCTTCCAAACCCCTGAGGACCCAGAGTTGACTTACACTTGCACAGCCTGGAACCCAGTCAGCAACAACTCTGACTCCATCTCCACCCAGCAACTCTGTGCAGGTAACCAGCTCTGTCCTGTTCTCCTGGAGTCTCAGAAATCACCCTGAAGAGTTACAAGGCCTGATCTTGGGCCTTATTCTCTGGGGACTGTACCTTCTTTTGCCAAGACTAGTCCTCCAGGGCATCTCCTGCCAGGAAGTCCACTGGGAAAGAGCCCAAAGCCTTCTGAGAGATGTCATACATTTCAAAGTGTTCTGAGGCAGTCCCTGTGTGGCCCTCTGATTGAGAGTTTCTAATCTTGGCTTTTAATAGCAGAAAACGCAGTTTCCCTTGAAGCTTTGGTACTCCCCAGGAAGGAATCCAATAGTTATAGTGCAGCCAAGCCTGCCCAGCCTCTCGGGTCTATTTCCTAGGAAGTAAAGACTCACTTCGTCTTCTATTTGCAGACAACAAAATGGGCCTCCTTCATACTCACCACACTGGGTTGATGATGGTGCTGGTTGTGCTCTTTTTGCTTATTCTCATTCTATCTGCAGTACTTTTGTTCCATTTGTACAAGAGAAGACAAGGTAAGATTTCACCAGATGATAAAATATGGAAATGCCCCTTCTTTCTTCCTGAAACAGAACCTTACTGCCTCCACCTTACTGCCTCCCAGAAAAATGGCCCTGAGAGCTGCATGACATTACCCTCAATGATCTCCAGAATCTGCTCCTGGATCACTAGTGGGGTGGGCTCAGAACATGAGTTCTAGTTTAGTCCTGTCATTAAGTTGTGCCTCACTGGACAAGTGCCTTTGCCTCTCTGGCACAGAGTCCTCACATGTGAAATAATGTTTGGACTAGAAGGCCTCCACAGATCCCTCTAACACTGTTTTTTTTTCTTTGAGTATGATTCTTGGAAAGTCATCAAAGGATATATACTAAATTTGCATTCCATGGCCCATGGTTGTCACTAGGTCCCCCGAACCCCTCTAAATTCCTTATAATTATATCATTCTCAATTTAGAATGCCTGATCTTGGGCCCCTGGAGGAATCATTACATCAGCCTATTCCTTCTACTCTCATGTGCCCCCAAGTTCTTTCTTTTCCATCAATCAAAATAGTAAGTAAGGATATAGAGAGGCTCTATCTCTGCTTCCATCCTTCTGACTCTCCTTTGGGTCTGATTCCTCAGGTTCCTCCTTGAAGACCTTCAATAAAACCTCTGGTAAGTCCTCCATCACAAGACTACCTAGATAAACATTGGAAGAGATCAGGGATAAGAGTACAGTAGTTAAGACAAAGAACGTGTATTTTGCAGTCAGTCTAAGGTGAGCCTATAGGATCTTAGGCCAGTTATTTTATCACTGTAAATCTCAGTTTTCTAGGTTGTAAAATAAGCACAATGATAAAGCTTGATGCATTTTTTTTTAGTGGTCTAAATGGAATTACACATACAAAATAATTTATCTGGCGCCAGGTACATATGAGGGGAGCTCTGGTAGCATAGTGGCTAAGGCACTTGACTGCTAACCAGAAGGCTGGTGGTTCAAACCCACCAGCCACTCCTCAGAAGGAAGATGGGGCAATCTACTTCTGTAGTGATACTGCCTCGGAAACCCCAGGAGGGGTCGCTATGAGTCAGGTCCGACTTGACGGCACATAACAACAACAACAACAGGTACATATGAAGTATTCAATAAATGTTAGATGTATTGACACAGTGGCTGCAACGATGGGCTCAGGTATGGGATCATGAGACTGGCTAAGGACTGGGCAGTGTTTTGTTCTGCTGTGCATAGGGTCACTATGAGTCAGAGATGACTCAACAGCACCTAACAATATACTTATAATTGAAAGGTCTGTGAATGGCACAGAAGGGGGCATTCTAGGGGAAGTGGGTTTGTGGCATAACACAGGTGACTTCATGATAGGAAGAATAGCACAACCTGCTCAGGCCTTGGGTAATCTGAAGGATCCTTCAGATGACATCTGTCCTCAGTGCCTGACAGCCTCCTAGGGAGGTACAATGACTATTTCTTTTCATCTACAAATGAAATAAGAAAGCACTCAGTCAGGGTCACTGGCCAAACCTGGAACAGAAGATGGAATAGCCCTAGACTTCGAAACACTGGAGCCCTGCGATACTGCTCAGCTTACTGGATCTGTTATTTATGGCTGTGTTAAGGTGCCCTGGAATATAAAGGCTCAAAACTCTGGCCGTCTCATTGCAAATTGGCCCTAAATTTTCCATGTCAGTGCCAAAGTAAAAGAGTACACTGGGATGAGTGCCTCCACCAGCAAATCAGTTCTTGGGAATAGGGACTTATCTCTCCTCTTTGTTTCTCTGGGGCCTCACATAGAGTTTGACACATAGAAGGAAATTAATAGATGTTTATTGACTTTGTGAATCAAGCGAGCAAGCAACAAATATTTGTGCAGCCTCTACTATGAGCTCAGCTTTGAGGTAATAATGGTAAGGTGTGGTAGTTAAGTTTGTGTGTCAACCAGCTGGGCCTGGTTGAGTGGCTGGGCAGCTGGCTGTAGTATTCCCCATCATAAGACTAATAATCAACTCCATGGTGGAATCTGCTGTGACAGCTAAGTAGCTGCCTTAGGGAGTGGTCTGCTTCCCACATATAAGAAACAGCTTTGGGAATGGTCTCTAGCTTATGGCACACTTGAACCCTGCAGGTACCATGTCGTTGTTCAGCAGCCTGCCATGCTCTGCCAATCCTGGGACTTTCAAGCAACTTGAATCAATGGCCTGCTGTGTTATTTGGTAACATTGGGACTGTGTCATTTTATTTGTCAACCTTGGGCTTGTTAGCTTCAGCAGCCAGTAGCTGCCTGAGTGAAGAGATGCTTCTGGGTTCAGTGGGCCAGGAGCAAGAGGCAGAGATGAAGCCCAAGGTCAAAGGGCTTTCACACAGCCCATAAAGCCTGAATGAGGTAGCTAAAACATGTGTGTACCAGAAGACTCCAACACAATATAGCACTAGAGATAATATAGTTGAGAAACTAAGACACTCACATGAAAAGCCAACAAGCTGTTTAAGGAAGTCAAAGCTAAACGCCAGTGTCCCTAAGTTCAGTGGGATCCCACCCTGGATGGAAAAGCTGCCTTTCATGGCAGACACAGGTGGCTGGGAGTATTTCTTTAGCCAAATATTGACTCTAGAATAGAAAAAAATTCTCACTGAGCTCTGGGTGAGGCTTGAGCCAGATGCTTCCTCTACCACATACAATCCCTAGACCAGGAAAAGACAGACCAAGGACTCAAGCATCCATCTCAAGAGGGATGAGTCCCCTGGATGTGAGCACCAGTAGAGTGGGAGCAGCTCCTGGCCTCAATCTAGATGAGTCTATCTTGGATAGAGATATGGAGGCAAGTACAGGTCACTAGACAAGATACACTGGAAAAAGTTCTGGATTCAGAGTCAAGAAACTTTAGTAGTCATGGACTGATTAAGGCTTTTATTTCTTTATCTTAAAAAGATAAAAGCATTAGAATAGATAATCTCTAAAATTTCATCTGCCTTTCATGTACTGTGGTTGTGTGATTTTTTTGTGACACAGATGCTGTTTCAAAGAAAATAGTGTATGAACAAATCATGCTTCCAAGAAACACCCAGCCAGCAGAGAACAGAATCTATGATGAAATCTCCCAGTCCAAGGTGAGCTGATGCTATTCGTGGACCACACCACCAAGAGTCCTGGGGGCCCAACCAAGAAATACCACTGTCAGGGAAATTATGCCCTCAGTGTCTCTGTGAGAACAAGAACCAAGTCAATCACCACTCCCTGGCAGCCTCTGGGGATGAGGTTCTGAGATTCCCTCCAGAAGGAATGGCTACAACATTAGATGCAAGTCATGACTAGGATTAGGGTAGCTCCTATAGGGACCAAACAACAAGAAAACCTCTGGAATGAGGTGAAGGCTATTCTGTGGCCACTGATACAGTGAGCAGATTGCTAAGGGCTCACAGAGGGCATGGAGCTGACATAATGAACATGACTTCCTCATCTGGCAACACCAGCAGCTTGCTTTCCTCAGATTCCAAGTCACTCTGTGATGTACTCCCTCCTCCTACCTGCCTTTCACCTGCCTGCCCCTCCTTCACCTCCACCCTGGATCGAGCTTCTACAACATATCTTTCCTCTGTGCCTCCACTAGCCTACTCCTCACAAATCTGCAAGGAATGAAGGAGGAAACTGAGGTGTACCTAGTCCATCTGGCATTATGCTCGAACTGATAAAGTACATGGGTCCATAGAGTCCATGGAAAGCTAAGACCTTGACTGAGCAAGACTCACTGTGAACCATGTAAACTCTCCCTTCTAAGACCTGAAGGTCTTGTCCAGCTGCTTCTCTCCGACAGCTCTGGACGGAAACAGAACTAAAGCTAGGAACAGAGGCTACCTAGTAAAAGTGGAGACAGGGAGGGGTGATGGGCAGGGTGACAAGTGGGAAGCAGGGCTTATAAGATTTGGCCTGGTCACACTCACTTAAGGAGAAGATGGGTGTTTTACAGGTTCTTTCCTCCAAAGAAGAATCAGTGAACACGATTTATTCTACAGTGCAGTACTTTGATAAGGTAAATCCTTTCTGTCTTCTACTCCTGTTACGTCCATTCAGGTTGTACCTCTTCCATCCAGCCCTTGGGACTCTTCTTTATACCTCTGAGGAGTTGTATAGCACTTTGGTCTATGGGTACTTTCATCCATACACAGTGCCCTTGCTTTCCCAGTCCATGGCCAACCATAAGTTGGCCTACTTGGCAAGTTGATCCCTTCCTTCAAGTGCAAGAACCCCCATACCTTTGAACTACAGTGTGGAAACTCCAGCCTGTATGACACTCAGGGCCACTGGTAGATCACAGTGTGAAAATTAGAAAACAAGCACCCCATTCTGGGCAAACAAAGCCCCACGCCAGGTGTGTGAAATAGAAAGTGAAACACAGGCTGAATTTCAGTTCCCATTTGCTCCCTCAACTGCCCTTTCACAGTACACAATCTGCACAACCATGTGTAATGACCTAGGGACACTCACAGCAGTCTGTGTCTCAGTTTCCCTCTCTGGAATATGCAAAGAGAGAAGAGAAACCCAGCTCTGTTGCAGGAGTTTATATTTTGGAGATCTGGTCAGAAGTCATCACTTTCTGAGGGTCCTCAATTCTGCTATAGTTGGGAGGACATATTTGGGGCTTCTTGGTGAATCGAATGTTTTATAAATGTTCCTTTTTTAAAAGCTAAGTTATCAAATAGGAAGTTACTGATAAAAGATACATTTGAACCCAGGAGTCTGTGGAAAGGAGAAAACAATGATAACAAATGAACAGTGGGAAGAAACATTGGGAAATTAAAATAAGTTGCAAATGGGTCCATGATAGTGAGGACATCTAGGAGCTGGACAAGCAGGGAGGTGCTACTTCATTTGAAGAGGGACTTGAAGCACAGTTTAGTTTGAATCTGAAGATCAACCAAATGTCCTAGAGAACAAGACAGAACAACTTTTGCTTCCTCACTGATAAGGAGAGGCAAAGAGGGAAGAGGAGAGGAGTGAGGAAAGAAGAGGAGGAAGAAAGGGGAAGGAGAAGCAAGGAGCGAAGGGCCAGGTGAGCCACCTGTTTAAGTCAGCATCTGAAGGAGAGAGGGAGGAAGATGAGTAACCTGACTTTTCATCTGGAAAGGACTAGATTTGAGGGTTTAATTAGGGGGTCCTGGATTGACATTTCAAAATAAATTTTTATAAACAAGTAGAATGGCTATTATTAATTAGTCAGTGTGTAATTTAAACTCTAAGATTCCTTATGCTAGTGGGAAATTTGTTTGCAGCACTCTAAACGACCAAAGCCCATGTAAAGTTATTGGTGACTCATCACCAACTATAGGCAAAGGTGGACTTATTGGGGTTCAGGAGGAACTAGGGCTCACCCAGGAACAAGGTAGGTAGCTTGAGCCTACATTTGGCCTTGAACCTATATTCCAAACCAATGTCAAATATTCCCCACTTGCTCCTGTTTCTCTTTTCTGATCTAAGAAGTTGAATGCCCAAGTGGGGTGGCTAGACAAGGTACTACTACTCCAGATTTCCCCAGACTGAAGGCATCCCCTGTGCTATTTGCATAGATCTCCTGGGTACATCATGAGCCTGGAGTTCCCCAGTAGCACCTTCCAGTAAACATGTCCTCACATCTCCCTCTTGTGCACAGATGGGGAAAATCAGCACATGTGACAGAAAACCTCTTGGGACTTCAAGCTATGAAATTGTCATCTAGACTCCAGGCACCGTTCTCTCTCCAGAAACTGAACAACCACCACCTCTACTGGCAGGGGCTCTGGACCCAAAATCTCTGCCCAGATCTTACTGGGAGTTTGCAAATCCCCACATCCCAACACATAAGCAAAACAGAAAACCCTTTGTGGCTGGACATAACTTGTGCCTAGATGGACAAATTGGCACATGCCCTTTCCGGAATGACTCTCTTCTGGATGAATGATAAGGTAGGTTTTCTAGCATAGTGCTTCCCAACCTTCTTCACTTCACAGTACATGTAGAAGATAATCATCTCTTTAATGGCACACTGTGGTAAACAATCAAGACTGCTCATGATGTATGGAAACTGCACATGGCTGGAGGCTTCTTATGACTGGAGGTGATGACCCTGCCCAGCAAAACCCTGTGGGCAGAGATGATCAATATTTTCATGCTTATAATGTCACAGTGCACCACCTGGAAAAACTTTGCTCACATTCAATATCTATGATGAGCCATGATGCATGGTCTCCGCTATTCACAGCAGCTGGAGCAAATTAGGCAAAGGCACCCTTTCCTTGTTGCAGGGGCAGCTCCACAGCTGAATGCATGCCTTGGCAAGCAGAATGGGCTGCATTTCAACCTTCCATGCCCCCTTTGCCCAGGAACCTTTGTGCTTATCCAACCCATCCACACATGATGGCATAGCTGTAAGAGTGTGGCTCTTGGCCATGTAAAGACACCTTCCAAATGGAAAGTGAGAAAATCTCTTTCTGTAATGACTAGATTTCTGGACTAGGCTTTCCTTCAGGCACTACTTTAGAAGCCAAGTAAGGTTTTCTTTCTGGCCAAAGTCTCTTTCTACATCACTTCAAGCAACCTCAGCAAGAAGCAGCAGCCATATCCAGTACCCCCACTGTCCATAAGAAGTGGAGCAGCACTTTAGGGTACTTCAAGGGAACTAGGTATAACCCAGCCATCAAAACAAAAAACTTTGCAGCAGAGTTATTCTCCAGAGAGAACTTGGGAGATGACGGTATAGATGATGAAACTACCAGGATTCATAGCAGTTCCTAAGACTCAGCCCAGAAAGCTGTGAGGCTCAACGTGGGGCTGAGTGTCCCCACCCCCATTACACTGATAAAAACACAACCAGCCTTACATAGACATTAACTCTTAGTTGCCAGTGAACAGGGCATTCATATGATCATTTGAAGAATTTTTCCCTTATATGTTAGCAAATGTAACTAGCTAAATCCTAAACCCCCTTGAACAATCCCAGGCTGGACAACAGAAATAAACTGCATTGATGCAGAATGAAGGTGTGAGTCTCAGTGACTGGAAAGTGAAGCTGTTTTAAGTTTTGTTGGATAGCATCAAAAGTGACCAGCCAGCTCAAACAAAGGGTACGTGATGGAACTAGAAGTAAAAAGAAGCCAACAAACACTTGTTGTTCATTGCCGTGGAGCTGGCTCCAACTCATGGTCATATGTATAACAGAACGAAATGCTGTCTGGTCCTGGGCCATCTTCATGACCTGTGACGTGTTTGAGCCCATTGTTGAGACTGTGGTATCCGTCTATCTCATTGAGGGTTTTCCTTGTTTTCACTGACTCTTTATTTTACCAAACATGATGTCCTTTTATAGCAATTGGTCTTTCCTACTGTGTCTAAAGCAAGCAAGATAAAGAAGCTTCACCATCCTCACTTCTAAGGAGCAATCTGGTTGTATGTCTTCTGATATTGATAGGTTCATTCTTCTGCCAGTTCAGGGTAGATTCAACATTCTTCCTCAACATCGCATAACGGAATCAAATTATAGTAAGCATTAAATATCAAAATGCAGAAATGCAGGCTTCAGACACCCATGTTCTGTCACAAAAAAAAAAAAAAAAAACACTGCTGTCAAATCATATCCGACTCATGACAACCCCTCCTTGGGTTTCCGAGGCAGTATCACTATGGAAGTAGATTGCTCAACCTTCTTTCCAAAGTTATGTCATGTTGGAGAGAAAAGAGTCACAGTTAGACAAACCAACTAAGGTGTCAACTAAAGCAATGGACCAGGTGTGAGGAGGTGAAAAACAGTTGTCCTGGGAAGGGACATGAAGAAAGGAACAAAGAGACTTGGATATAAAGCATGGAAAATTCCACAGTGACACTGAATAGGCTGAGTTTCCCCTGAAATAAAATCACTCCCCACCCTGCAGATGAATTGAGGGATCACTCTTGAACATCCTTGCTCTCTAACCTGCCCCTGCCTCTCTCTGCTGTGCTCTTTCAGTTAAATCCCTACTGTCCTAATGTCCCATGAAGGAGCTCTGGTAGCATAGTGGCTAAAGCACTTGACTGCTAACCAGAAGGCTGGCGGTTCAAACCCACCAGCCACTCCTCAGAAGGAAGGTTGGGCAATCCTACTTCCATAGTGATACTGCCTCGGAAACCCAAGGAGGGGTAGCTATGAGTCGGGGCCGACTCGATGGCACATAACAACAACAACAACAATGTCCCATGGAGTCCCTGGGTGGTGGAAAGAGTTAACATGCTCATCTGCTAACTGAAAGGTTGGAGGTTCAAGTCTAGCTAAAGGAACCTCAGCAGAAAGGTCTGGCAATATCCCTCCGAAAAACCAGCCACTGGAAACCCTATGGAGAGCAGTTCTACTCTTACACACTTGAGGTCGTTATGAGTTGGAGTTCATTTGATAGCAATTGTTGTGTATACAGCATAATGCCCCAACATGGCACAAAAAAATAATGAATCAGGCATAAGAGTTCCTTAGGACCTTCAGGAGAGTGAACTTGGGTCAAGCCAGTGCCCAGGAATTATGAAGATGACCTTGAATGTCTAGGACTACCTTGTAGGATTGATGGGGATTAAGCAAGGCATTTCTACAAGTATATGCCTGCACCTGGTATGGCCTTCAGTCAGTCCTAGCTCTGGTCATTATACAAGTTGTCCTTATAGGTCTGAAACCTTCGTAAGATGTTAATCCAAAGTTATGAAATAAGCTTCTTGCCATAGGTATGCAGTTGATATGATGCTAAATTAATTTTGCATATCAAACTTTTAACTCTCAATTCTTCTAAACTCAGATATATTTTGTTATATGCAATATCTGAGACCCTATATTATTTTACTTACTCTAACTACCTCTAGTTACGTGATACTATACCTGTTCTCTAATTAGACTGAGAGAACAATGGCTATGTCTGAATATTAATAATAATTGAATGAAGAACTCCTCAAGAGCAAGGAGCTTATAATAATTAATTTCAAGTTTACTGTCTATGTCAACTACTATACTATATGTTACTGTCAATACAACAGCCCTGTAAAGTAGAAATTAAGTCTTCAATTTTACATTAAGACTAAGAGACTAAATATCTTACTTACCAAAGCCAAGACATTGAGAAGATAGGATTTGAACTCAAGGTCATTGTCACCAAGAACCACACACTTGCATTTTGCCTCACTGCCTCCTGTTGTCAGATTCCCAGCACCAGGCACTTTGCCCCAGGTGTGCAGCATATTACTTAACACATAATAGGTGGGTCACAAATGTCTGTTGAATCAATAAGTACATATTATAATATTTTAAAAGGAATTCTGGTGGCACAGTGCCTAAGGCATATAACTGCTAACCATTAGGTTGGCGGTTCAAACCCACCAGCCAATCCACGGAAGGAAAATGATGCAATCTACTTCTGTGAAGATTTACCACCACCTTGGAAACCGAATGGGGATTGCTATGAGTCAGAATCAACTCGATGGCAATGGATTTGGTTTTTGGGGTTTATAATATTTTTGAGGTATTAATTATTAATCACATTGTTATCTGAGTAACAACTCAACTTTTCTGTTGGAAATATCTATTAAAGAAGATTGGATAGAGCCCTCTGTCTGTATTTGGGAGAGTTGGATCGTAGCAAGCAACGGAACCTGTTCATAAGCACTTCAGATGAGCTGGTAAGAAATGAAAGGAATAGAGTGTAAATTTCACTATTAAAATCACAGAAATAACAAGATAGGAAGGAGAGGTATGAATTTGGGGAATTCTGCTGCACCATTTTTGATGGTTTGTAATCAGCTGTGTGCCTTGAGATTTTTTTAATGAGCCCTTTCAAACTTAAGGAGCCCTTGATGCTTGTTCAAAACATATCAAAGTGAAACATTTGACAAAGGACCATTATTAAGAGTCCTGAACTCTGATTTGAGGAAGCTAAATAAAATAATGATTAGTACATTCTCCAAAGACATGCAAACTTTGAGAAATTTACTTTGAGAATTCATAAAGAAACATAATCAGCCACCTTTGGATGATAATTATTAACTCTTGCCGGCTGATTGACCAGAGTGTTCTGAATAGCCCTACATAAATCTATTGGTTTGGGCTGCACCAATTCTGTGAAAACAGCTATAACTTTGCCTACAGGACTAGAAAGACTCCTTAGCAACCTGACCCATCAGATCTTCCTATCCTTTTCCTGCCTGCTTCTTAGGCTTCAGTCACACAGAACTATCACAGATTCGTTAGCCTCTCAAATTCTTTCCCACCAAAATTATAAATTTTTCTCATGAGGTCTTATATTACACAAGTTATTGGTCAGAGAATTTTTTAAATACCCATAATCTCAACCACTTCATTTATAATCAATATTTCCAGCTGCTTATGGGCTGGCTGTCTCCATATGGATGTCAAAAGTCACCTCAAATTCAATGTCAATATGAACTAATGGGTCTCTCCCTGACCACTCTACTACTCCCCCCATCCCCTCTAACTTGCTTTTCTTCTGTTTCCCCTATGCTAGTTAATGTGGGCATCTACCCAAGCTCCTCCCTCCTTCTTACCTGTCACCCTAAATTCTCCCTATATCCAATCAGTCATTAAAAAAAAAAAAGGCTGTGGAGTCCATTCTGACTCATGGAGAACCCCCTGTTACAGGATAGAACTGCTCCATAGAGTTTTATTTGCCATAGTCTTCACAGAAGCAGATCACCAAGTCTTTCTTCAACAGTGTC